AGCGAGATCCGTGTGAAACTAATTTCCCTAATGACGTTACTACACCGACGCAACTTGATTAGGTCATGTTCGTAATATGTGCGCTTATATAAGTGTGTGTGTAGGGGATAAAAGCTTTTAAATGCACCATAAAACCCTGGATGAAAACAGTTTTTGAGGTTTTTCAGATGTTTATAGGGCATTTGATCTGTCCCACTGCAACATCTGCTCATTTGCATAGATCCTGCCTGATACATTCTTGCACCTGCGGCAACTAGCTGCTGTTATTGCACTGTTTGCACGCTACTTTCTAGGCATTCTGCAGACAAAGCTGTATTTGGCTACACCCTACAGCTTAGCTGCATTCGCTGAAAGCTCCGCTATCCAAGCAATATGTACAAATGACACCCTTGCATATGTCTACACGCGTGTCGCCAAACCTGGCCTGTTTTAGATTTTTACACAGAACCTTCTGGCTAACAAATCATTATTAATGTTGTTATTGAGCAAACAGACCAACAGCACCCACAGGGGAAGCTGCATTGGCTGATTTTAACCTCAACCAAATTCACCGTTTGGAAATAGCAGGTGTGTTGCTTATGCCTTTGTTTTTTTTCTATTTCCTGGGGTGGGGGGTTCTAATTCTTTTCATTTTTTCGAAATACAAACTGAATATCTTTTTCTCACGGCATCTTTGAAATACAAAAACAGCCCCGACCCCCAACACGCTTATACATTTTCGAGCTGTTTTACACTCAGTTAGCGTTGTAGATCTTCAGCCTCCTTCTCTCAATGCGTCTTCGCTCTGCTCTCTCCTCTCTCAGCAGCGTGTTTTCATTAGCACATGCCTCACGTTTTTTTTTTCCATCCTTCCTCTCCTCTTTTGTGTCATTAAGTTTTTAAGAATAACCCTGGGCTCCACAACAGATGCTGTGGTGGTAAAAGAGCTTACACGCACAGACACGATTGCACATCAACAGGATATGCTATTGTGTTTGCGAGGTAGAGCTGTTACCGCTCTCTATTAGTGAGGCTGAAAAGTCTTTCTCCTACTACGACAGCTTACTTTCCTTTGTGTTTCTTTCTCGCTGCCTTTCACCTTTTGTTATTCCGTACTCCGCTTTAAAAACAAAGTTTCCTTTCTCAGAAATAAGAATAATATATAACAATGAAGATGATAAGATTCGAAACACTGCAAGATGGCGATCAGCAGATTTCTGTTAGATCCCGATTCAGTGGAAAAATAACAAAAAACACAGCTTTGGTAAATAATAGTACGTCTTATTTTGAAGTAAGATTCGAGTTGGTTTCCTTTTTTCATATTTCTTTTGACGTTTTCTTTAACAGATTGTGACCCTTGACTCCCTGCAGCTACAGCTCTGACAACAGATGTGCTCCACGCAGGGACAGACTACAGACGAACCAACTTAAAAAAACCCAGGCGTGACATAGATGGAACAACTTCACGCAAACTTCTCGCCAAAACTTCCACTTTAAAAACATGAAAACAGACAGAAAGAGAAAAAAAGGCACGCAGGAACCTGGCATATAACCAAAATCTACGGCTGTTCGGAAAAGGAGACGGTTGTGAGGCCGAAGGATCATTAGACTGCAAACAAAGCAGAAGCACAAACACACACACGCATGCACACCGATGCTGAGAGGCAGAAGCTGCAACATGTTTAACAAGAAGAACGAGAGAAAGTGAGGAACAGCGGAGAGAGCGTTTTCTGAGTGAAAGGCCATCTGCTGAATCCATGGCTATGCCAGTCGCTTTCTAGCTCCCCATCGTTCGCACCTGCCAGCACGCCAAAGCACCCTCAGGAGGACAAAAGCACCTTTGCATTTTGCACACTTTCGTACACAAGCACACACCGTAACGCGTGTACTCGCCTCGCAATAATGGCACGCACACAGCAATAACGGGTGTGATTTGTCAGCGCAGCGCTGTGTCTGAGGAGCTTTCGATGTTTTTCCATGTTTTCCCTCCTGCGGTAACAATAACATAACCGCACTTTAATAAACGAGAGCAGGACAGAATAGAATAGCTGCAAATCAAACCGTTTATGAGGCTGAGCTGTTCAGCTCGCAGCCAGGAAAGGCTACAGGAAGCCTGTATGTGCTTCTGTGGCTGTGAAAGTTATATTATAGTTGAGCGATAGGAAGCGCTGATCACATGGTTCAAAATGTTGTCAGCAGTCTGGGTTTAGTAAGGCCCTTTTTACACATGGTTTTAAAATGTATTGCTAGCAATAAGTTTAGTGGACAGTCAGGAAATAGTGCCGTTTGCACCTGTGTCATCATGATCCTCCAACGACTTCCTTACTGTATATGTCAAAGAGCCCCTGTGCATCCCTTCATTTGCTGTCTATTGCCAGCCAAGTACCAGGCTTGTTTAGCACGAGCTACAAAAGACAACACAATGTTTTGAGAAGAAAGGTGTGATTTATTTCAGCATCTGAGACTGCCATTTGTCAGGGTGCAGGATAAGATGAAAAACAGCCACCACATATGGACACATTAGCATTCATACCATGTTAAGAAGTTGGTTCAAAATGCATTTCTGAAGTTGCTTACATTTGTTCTTAGCGCCGCCCACTTGCGATCTGACTGCACTTCCATTCAATTTAGTGATTACTGGGGGAAATTGTTTACACAGCGAGTAAAGGTTGGGGAGCTATGGAGAAAAACGCACCACACACGTCTCGTGGAAAATCAATCAAGAACAGAACAGGAAATGAAAACTGAGGAGCCAAAAGACGTTTGAAATAATGAGAAAAGCAGAAGCAGAGAGAGTGAAATTAGAGAAGGGAGAATCTGACTGATTGACAGATACGATGGAACGGGTGAAAAGACAGAAGAATGGACAACACGAGGCGACATTTGAAAAAATAAAAATGTTCTCCCAATTCCTCAGAAACCTCAAGGACGACACTCTTATTGCACACAGAAGTGCAATCGCCCACCCATCAGCTCTCCTAGTCTTACTCCACGTCTCTCTACTCTTTCAAACTCGCTTGTAATCTGCCTTTTCATCTTTTACCCCTTGCACCTCTGCCTTCTTCCCTTGGCTCTCCTTCTCCTTCCATCTACTTTTCTCTCCTCCTCTTTAAAGCCCACCTCCTCTTTCTCTCTATCTCTCACACCATCTGAAAATGTAGCTCTCTTGTGGCTCAAACATACTTCAAATGTACTTCTCCCCCCCTTTGCTGCAGCCTGTCATTCTCGCTGCCTATCTAATATGTTTATTCTCCACTTGTGTCTCTCCTTTACCTCGCTTCTGTCCATCTCTCCCCCCCTGAGCTCTCTCTCTCCCGCTCTTGTCTCTCTAGTGATGCAGCTTTGATCCTCGCTTCCTTCCCCAGTTACAAATGCACTCCACCTATGCACGCATGCACACAAATACACACACGCACACACACTCTTGACAGGTGTACAGATGTTGTTTAATAGAAAGCAGTAATCAACACCGCCTTCTCCCCGGCATCCACACCTCTGTGAGTAAATGAAAGAAAGACAGATACAGAGAGAGAGAATAACAGAGGAAGAAAGGGAGACCTTAAATTGATGGCAGTGCATCGACCCCTCTGTAAAACCTAGTTAACACCTCGGCAGCCTGTGAAACCCGATTAGACAAGCGGTAGTGTGTGTTTGTGTCATCGCGTCGCGTTCAAAGCACAAAATGTTGCACAGGTTGTTTTTCTTTGCAGACGGACAATCCCATTACAGGCTCTTGATTAAAAAAATGTTGATGCGATCCCGTTCACGTGCCTTGAGTGCAGTGTGCGTCTGTGTTTCTTTGCTGATTACCTTCCTCTTACTCAATAGTGAATAGAGCACTCAGCTTGATAAGCAATCACCTGAATCAATACTAATCTTTTTAGCGAGAGCATGTGCATGTTTGCATGGATGCATAGTAGCAGAGTTCTTAAAATGTGGCTAGTCTCCTGTAATTTGAACTCATACAGGATAAACATTTAATTACAGGTACATTGAGTCACGAATGCCTGTCATCCCTACTTTTCTCCCCTCATCCATTTCGTCCTCTCTAAAGAGCCTTCTTTTAACTTACATCCTTTCATCTTCTAGCCTCTCAACCAATCTGCATTCTTTTATTTTCCTTTCTTCTTCTTCTCTCACGTCCTTCTCTTCTCTGGCCTTCTGTGAGCCAGAGCATTACCAGCAGTCTAACCTTCAAAGAGAGTGATCATTGAAAGTCCATGCTCTTCACATACAGAATAACACGGCCTTTAGTTGGACTTTGGCGCCTGTGTAAATGTCAAAGTTGGAGGGCCTGCTTTGGCACACCCGTGCGTAATCCCTCAGAGACAGACAGAGAGATATGAAGAGCGCTTAGCTTGTGTGTGCATGAATGCACATGTTCATAGGGCTCACTGAATTTAAGTTCAGTCAATTTCAGCCTAAATCTTTTTTGTTGGTGACCCAATAAAGTAGAACTACTGAGAATATAGCTGTCTGGAGTTTAGCTCATTCACTGTGTTAGAGTGGCCAAAAAACTGTATCCCATCAATTTAAAGGGTAAAATTTCTGATATTTTATGTTCTTTTTATATCTTTCCTCAGGCAAGCCCACTGGTTCATACTGAACAGGGGAAGTGTTTAGTCAGAAATATTATATAATTTTATTTTTTTTAAAAATAACAGTTCATTTTAACAATTGTTACTCCAAAGGAGTAAATATTGTGAAAAGAACTTGAAATTGTGGCCAATTTTCAGCTGCGTTTAAGTGCGCCTTTGAGCAGCACTGTGTGAAACTGACTCCAAATAAAGTCGCCACATTCAGTGCATCAAAAGAACGTGTCACCCACAGCAACAGTGTAGCTCATAACTGTGCTTTTTAATCGTTTTTGGACAACAATAAAGGTCTGTGGCCCAGCGAGACAGTAAGATGTACCAGGCTTTGGCTACAGGGATTATTTCCATTACATTTAAGAATGGTGACAAAATGACATAATATTAACAGGGAGGTAATTGCCAACCCCTTTTTACTGCTGGCCCTACCTTCCGCTGACAACGAAGCAAGTCACCAGGAAGATGAGGAGAACAATTCCCCCTGCGATCGACACAGCCAGAATGGTAGACTGATTAGGGTCCCCTATGGCCAAAACATCTACAAAAGAGAAAAGGTGAAGACTGTTATTTAAGCAAGCATAAATGAGAATGGGAAAAAAAGTCAGAAATGTTTTCTACAGGGGAAAATTGACAGAAGAAAATACTAAGGAAGGCTGGGAGTTAAAAAGATAACAAGTGAGAGTGAGAAAGTGGCGGAGGAGGATAGAGATAGAATGAAATACGATAGCAATAGAAAAAGAGGTAAAAGACAGAGGCTGAGGGAGACTGAAAAAAGAGAGGGCCGCAAACGAGTAAAGGAGAGAAAGGGAGGTGGATGGAATAGTAAGTAAGGTCCTTGATGAAAAGCGCTCTCCCTCTCTACATTCCCTGCGAGGGTATGAGAGTAGACATGAAAGCTATTCCCATTCTTCTGTGCTGTCCAAATGGATATGTTAACATTGCACATAACAAGGCTACCACCGAGAACTTTCTGCAAAGATGCATCGATTTTTACGCCACACCAATCGAGCCATTACTCAAAACAAATACCTCATTTATCTGGTTTAGCTAAGCATGGGCAGACATGTGCGACTGAGTGTGTATGCACTGCATATATGTGTGTGCTTGTGCCTGTGTTGGCAAATTAAAGCTCCAAGGTAAGTACAGATAAGCATTGATCTCCTGTTATATTTTGTGGTGCACACGTACTCACCCCTTCTTTAACAATCAATAGAATTGATCTAATTAGATTACTGAGATATTGGATCAGCTGCATAAGGCGGATCCTGTATTTTTGAACACTGAACTTGACTGTAAACCTTTATTTGAAGGCACAGCAACAGCTCTATATACTTTTGAGAATAGAAGAAGTGGGATCAGAATTTTCCGCGGATTCATCAGCTGACATTCTATAAAGTACTGAGTATTTTGGTGACAGCCAAGAAAAGATCATTTACACCTTGTTGTATAAATTAAAATTTGATACTAGGAATTGAAACCATAAACTCAATAGCACACAAATTTAAAGAGGTTACAAATGAATTTAACTGTAGGTATATTTTCCCGTAGACTTGTATAAACTCTAATTTCTTTTTGCCCTCTACTGTCACCCTTAAAGAATGCATAATTTGCACAACTTACGTAATTGTTCTCATTTTTCATGTTTTATATAAATGCTCTAAATATTGAGATGTATATGTTGCATTAGTAGGAGCAATTTAAAGGACAGAAATCATCTTTCACATCAATAGGCATTTGTTGCAGGACCAAGTTTATAATTACTTTAATTGATTACTGAATTACTTGAACTGTCATCCGTATGTATGCTATTCGTATGCCTTCCAGACAGCGTATAGTGCAGTGCCAACCATTTACACATGTATCCCCCTCTACTTTCCCTCGAAGCGCCTTGAGGCGACATTTGTTGTGATTTGGCGCTATATAAATAAAATTGAATTGAATTGAATACTTTCCTCCACTTTGTCTTGGAATCATTGAAGAACACATTACGCAACCTCTAAAGTAGAAAATCCTAGCACGCACAATAAGGTGATAATGAAAATGAATGACCCCTAACCTTAACATCAACAACAACAATAAAAAGAATGGATGAACACGGGGAATTTGAAAACAACATGACAGAGAAGCAACACAAAGCTGTTTATGAGGCCTGAACAACCCCACTGAACTTAACCAGGCATGGATTTGCCTTTGGTATAAATTCCTAGTCTATTAAAATCTAAGTATAAGGCAACATGGCAACATTTTACTTGGAATAATCCATGTATTAAGCTGTCAAATCAAGTTTTCATCTGAACTGCTACAATATATATATATATATATATATATATATATATCCAGTATTCTGTGTGAATCAAGATTTTCAATCCAATGGCACATCCTTCCTTGTGAAACTGGCTTGTCTCCCTTTTACCTGATAAGTATTCCACAAAACTTTCGAGCCACTGGTTCAGATACATAGATGACAACCTATGAGACTGCCAAGGTGTCTCTGTCTGACAGCAGAACTGAAGAAGCTGTTTGGATTAGAGTAAGATATTCCATAACCATACAGTCGATTGATTTAAACAGCAGGGATGACTTCAAATCTTAGTACACTTGATATAATATGGATGTACATTTTGATCTAGAGGTAATCTTTGTCCCGTTTTTTTTTTATTTTTTTTTTACCAGCACTTTTAGATTTCTAATATTGAGAATGCGCACTGCATTTGAAGAACAGGCGTGTATTAAACATAGACTGGCTGCTATTCCAATTTTCAGCTGACCACATGGAAATTTAGTAGGAGGAAAAGAGATGAAAAAGAAACAAATCAACTGGACAAAGTGGGACAAAACAGCTGGGGGGAAAACTGAAATATCCGATTCCCTATAAGTAAACATAAAATCTATTATTCCGTGTTTTACTGTACCTTCGTGACTTGTTTCCAGCTCAATCTCTCCACCGTAGCTCCCATACCCCCCATCAGTCCGAGCCCGGACCCTGAACACATAAGTGGTCCCGGGTTTGAGCCCTTCCACTGTCATCATGTTGGAGCGAGTCTTCAGAACTGTATAGTTCTGTTCTCGTTGGTTCTGGAGCAGAAAAAAAGAGTGAAACAGTGAGTGAAAAAGGAGAGAAACTTAAAATAGATGATATTAAATGCCCAAGAAATTAAATGAGTCTGGATTATGCAGGTTTATACAGAGCAATATACTAATAACATATCATATAATAAACAAAAATAGTCTGAAAATAATAAAAACCTCAAATTGTTGAATTTAAATGTCTCCAGGGTCCAAATACACCTCACTAAGTTTTCATTTGTTCATCGCTGGACCATGTGGTGGCATTTATACATGAGCATCTGTCAACTCTCAAATCTTTTCCTCTCCACACTCCAAAGCATTATGCGGTTACTAGTCCCGCTTCACTTCCTTCCTCAACTACCTTGTGAGTGTGCGTGCACTTATATACATGTGTGCAGGAGGATGAATAAAGAATAAGTGTGTCTGTCAGTAAGCTGATTCCCTGCAGAGAGGCTGATACTCTACCTAATGGAAGACACTTTACAACACGGATTAACACTGTTTTACTGGTAATGCCTGCCAGCCCACACGCACACATGATCAGATAGCGTGCACGCACACAGACACACAATCTTGTTCCATCGTCCACACGAGGACACTCATTAATCTAATGCAATCCCAAACCACTTACCCTGACTTAGAACATCAAATTTCAATGCTTTGTCCTAATCCCAATCTATTTCTCAACCTTTTTTCTAAAATAAAGTTTTAACCCTAAAAAAAAAACACCTATGGGGACTTGTTTGAATGCTTGTCCTTACTGTGACGCAAGCCCCCATATGTTGGTAAGTATTTAGGCTTAAGTCCCCGCCGGAATATAAAAACAAGCTCAAAACCCCCACACATACAGAGACTCAATTTTATCACCTCATCCAGGTTTTACGAGGTTTATTCAACAGATGTTTGGTTAATTAGCTTGGCATGAACAGTAAAGGAGACACTAGTGATAAGGCAGTGAAAACATAGAAAGGAAGAAACTGAAAACAGGCATTGTAGATGTTTGTAATGAACAAGTCATTAGTGATATACCCAAAGGCTGCAGTACAGACAACAAGAAGATTAGAAAATATGTAGTGTTACGGGGTACTCGAGATATTTTCAGCTGCGCATAATGACATTTTGGGAGAAATACTTATTTAGGTAAGACAGTTTACCCCACTTGTGCATTTTGGTGCATGTGTAGGTCTTTCTCACCTTCTCATAGTAGATAACCTCATATTCCACAATCACTCCATTGGGTCTCTCTGGGCCCTGCCAGGCCAAAGTCACACTGTCCTTGCTCCGCCTTTCCTTCAACACTACGCTGACTATAAAAAATAGAAAAAACAAAGGGAGAAAGTGTGAGTAAAAGAGAAAGTAGAGCTCTGCAAGACAGGCTGGTGCAGGACCATGACATGAGAAGACCCATGCTGCAATATGTCAGACATTTTATTGTGTTAATGAAACAGCTTAGAAGATGTGTGACACTCACGTGTATGTCATCTGCTCGTGTGATCAGTGCAAACCCCAAACCCTACGACTTCCGATCCATTCACACATCGGAGCAGATGCTTGTGCGGTTTGAAAGTGTGTTTGCTTGTGCATGTGAGTGTGTGTGTGTGTGTATGTGTATGTGTGTGCAAGGTTGAGAGCGACAATCAAGGCATGTGGGGATTTTAATGAGGTTAACAACCTCCCACACCCCTTTCACCTTCCTCCCACCTCTCATACACAGTAGTATGAGACCTGAAAGAGATCGTCACCTTGCTACACTTCTGTTACGCAGTCCCCCCATGTGACATATGCAAATATGATTGCGCATGCAGGCAAGGGTGCAAAGATGTCATTTAGAGTCAGAGTGTTAGAGATGCTTCACATCAATGTTTAGAGTTCTCACATAAGCATGATGCTATTTATAAACAGAAGATGTTCAGGCCACATAATATGTTGCTTTTTATATATATATATATAAAATATATATATAAAATATATATATAAAATATATATTTATATTTATATATTTTTTATAAGTATTTACTGCATATTAAATCCCCAAATGTCTTGAAACATAATAAATAATACTGTGAAAGAGCTTCCCGGCATCAACAAATACATTCATATGCAAATTGGGATGTCTTTGTTTAGGACTTGCACATGTTCTCACCTGTCTGCGATGTTGTGACATTTATCACGACTTTTCCCTTGGGTGTTGGACTTAAGGCCGACACTCCATTCTCACTCTCAATTGTGAAGCTGTAGTTGGAGTCTGGCTCCAAGTCGGTAACCAACACGGTTGTTGATGACAGACCAAAGTTCCTGGGAACAAAATGGACGTTGCTACCGCATTTTGTGCACTTCTTGCCATCACCAGAGCACTTTGTGCAATTGAGGTTGTAGATGATGTCTCCTCTGCCTCCGGTGTCTCTGGGTGGTGCCCACTCCAAGGTGACGCAGGTTTCATTCACAGTTGAGATGGGATTCTCAGGAGCAGATGGAGGACCTGACAGAATACAAAGGCTCTGATCAGTTTCTGTATCTTTTTACTATTCATTATTTATTTATTACATACAAGTTCCTTTTAAACTGCTTTAACAACACTAAATCTAGCGTAAAGGTTTCTAAATGGAAACCTTGGTGAAACTGTACACAGCATTGGTTAACCATCATTGTCACTGCCTTCAAATGTTGCTTAAAAAGGACTACAAACACCCAAAATCTCACAGGTTACAACTGGATTTAATAATGCACTTCCAAATATATAGTCATCTATAAAATAGTATTACAATACATGCGACACCCTGCTAATTAATCCAAGCTATTCTAGCTTTTAATTGGTGAGAAGCATGGCATGAAATACAGACAAATATTATTTTTTGAAATATCCAGTCTTTCAATGTGCATCGTCTTCATGCTCATTACCAAATGAATTGCGATTTCTATAAAGAACAGACATCACGCTGATTAAATTACAAATTTAATTACTGACTTCAACCGCGAGGTGCATATTTTTCCAGTTTGTTAATTAGCTTTGAAATCGACAGTGATTGAAAGAGTTTGGCAGATTGTCACATCGAAGAATAATGTATAATATTGCACTTTCCAATTTCAATCTTAAACCTTTAAAGAGAATTCGTATAATATTAAATAGCCGATACTTGACTGCACAAAGATTTTTTACCATGTGAAATTAACTCACGCCCTGAGAGTCCACTGCAGATAATAAATAGTAAGAGGACAATGATCTATGGAAAGTGCCTAAAGTAATTCTCACAAGTCAGTTGCATTTTATGATTTAGGTGGTTAATATCACTCTGAGCTTCAGCTGAAATGATTAGTTTATCACATTGTCAGAGTCCAAAGACTATGTCAGTAATCATTCTCAAGAAACCAAAGAAAGTTACATGCAAATGCTCTCCATTATACCTTTAGATGCAGCGCATTCTTCTTGAAAGACAGATTAATATAATATCCAGAACTATGTGTTTAACATTCAGAACACCAAACTTAGGAAAATATATTTTAGATTCCATTAAACTCTTTTAAGACCACGGATACTTTATCAGTGGAAAGGTCTGTTCTGAATCTGAAGAATCCTTGAAACACAAACACATCATCAAGGTAAGCTATTCCTGTAGCATGAGAACCACTCATATGGAAAACCCGACTGTGGATACCCACAGCACAGCAAGGTGCCAGTATTTCAACCATATGGAATTTGGCAGTACCTTCCATGCTGACATCTCATCAGGGTCCTGGCTGAGCCGTGAGCCCCAGGAGGGGACCAGCAGAGCTTGAGACTTTCTTGACTGGCCCTCCCAGTGCTGAGACCCGGCAGCATGCGGAGCCCCTACTACGTATAATTGAGGCCGTTGGTTATAAATCTTCTAAAAGAGTGTGCCGACTTATTCTTATTCTGTCTTTTTTTTCTTTTCTCCATCCTCACTTCCCTTGGCCGCACTTAACTGTCCATCATCACCGTTGGTACTGATCGGTCCTTTATGACACTTAGATTATATGCCTCTGATACTCAACGATTTCCCCCACTGTTCTATTCTTTTCTTATGTCTCGAGTGTCACTCTCCGTCTTTCCATGACTAACTCTCTCACCTTTTCTCCTTATTTTCTCATTTTCCTTCCTCAATCCTCCATAGTGCTCTTCACCATTCAAGAGAGATGGCGTGCGCGTGTCTGCCCATACATATTTGAACAAACCGTTACTCATTTCCAGCTGATAACACCTGTCACATCTCACCTGCTACAACGATTAATGAGTGTAATCTACCATAACCTGATAATGGGTTTGAGTATGAGTGTGCATGCTTGTGTGTGTGTGTGTGTGTGTGTGTGTATGTGTGTGCGTATGTGCACGCATTCCTCAATATTTCTCAAGTTCCGTCTCTCTCCTCTGCCATGACAATGTCCTTTCCCGCCTCCACTTCCCTCCGTCTATCTTAATCTATCTGTTTCTGTTTCTCCTGCACACTCAATCATCCCCCATCTTTTTGCGTCTTCTCTGTGTCTTTCCATGACTATGTAGCCCAAACTCTCTGGCTGTATGTGTGTGTGTGTGTGTGTGTGTGTGTGTGTCTACGTGTAAGAGAGAACCGAAAGAGAGAGCATTTGAACCACGTATCTGTGTGCTGTTCTTACAGCAATTGTATCCACTGCAAACTGATTAAATGAAAAGTAACTAAATAATTTCATAGCCCAACAATACTTTCACTATAGTGAACTGTAGTGAATATTGTGACTGTGCTGGCTTGAACTTTCTGACAGTGTTTGAATCACTCACGTGTGCATGCCATTGAGCGAGGGTCGTTCTCAGCACGGTAGAAACCTTTCTCACAAATGCACTCTGTGGCTTGTTCCTGTGGGGAGGAGCTGTGAGGGGGGCATTTGGTGCAGTAGGCATCTGTAGCTGAAGCTTTGTAGGTGCCAGGTCTGCATGCTGGAGCGAGGAAAGAAGATGAATATGGAATAAGAAGTTGTACCATTGCCACAAACACACTACACAGTCAGCATTTATTAACCATAAAGAAAAGTGTTGCCAAACACTTTTGCTGTGAACACTTAAACACCAATTTACTATATTGTTGTTTGTAATGTGATCATAAAAGCTAGTAGTTGCAATTGCAGCAGAAATCCCTGCCTTGTTACAATGTGATTGTCTAAATTTGGCTGATTTGGACATAATACTGTCAGTTAATGTGACATTGTACAGGCCAAAGAAATTGCTTTGCTTAGAACAAAGTTGTGTTGCTAGAGAGACAAGAAATACACACAATCAGATGACTACTTTTGTTTTTATCTCTCGATCAAAAAAATCCAAACAATCTGAATTTATGTCTGCACGTGTCTCATCTGTCATGACGTTTTGTCATCAAGTCCCCAAATCTTACTTTTAAGTTAATATTGCTATCATAATTTAAAAACATAAATAATACAGAAAGTATACAGAATTATACTTGAAGCCTGCACATAATAAAGAGAAGTCAGAGAAAAACTTACAAGTGTCCCACCCTTCTCCAAAAATGGTTCTTATTTTGACTCTTAGTTATGTTTTAAACATAAGGATGGTCAAGTGTGTAACTGCAAAGTAACATGAGTGCTGGTGTTGCCACTCTAAACTAAAACTACATTCTGCTTCCTAACATAGACCAAATGAACACAAATCACATTTTTTTCCTCTCAACCAAGTAATTGCTTTGCCTAAATGTAACCAAGCAGTTTCAGTGCCAGTGCAAAAACATGTGAAAATAAAAGCAAATGGTACGATTGGAGCTTAAAAACAATCTCTTTGAGACTTCTTAATACAAACTTTTTTGGCCTTTTGAAGTAGAAATAGTCTTATATCTCATTTAAAGATCAATATAATTGCTTGTTCAGATAAGATGGTTACAATTCTATAACACATACCAAAAACTACAAACAATGCAGTAAAACATTTTTCTTTTCTTCTTTGTTTTTTGCAAAAGATAAGATACTACAGATACAGGTGGGTCACAGAATGTGCCATGCAGTGCTCGTGGCAAAGAACAGGAAAACAAAGTCTGATTTAATATGTTGTGACAATAGGTCTACGTGAGCGCCTTTCACATGAGGCCAAAAGACTGGTGTAACAACAGAGTTGTACGATACAATAACACAGTTCAACAGCAGATCAACTGTCATTCCTGTTATATAAGCATTAGATCTTCGGGCCACCGAGGGCTCAAAAATATATACAGCCGCAGTCACAGCAATAGTTACAATAATATAATATGACTACTGGTAGAGCTGTTACAGTAGCTGCACATTAGTCATTATGTGGAGTCATAAAACCGGGGAGGGAAAACCGTGATACCACTCAACAGGAGCAACCTACTGTAATAGACTGGGGACGTGAATGATTTCCCTTTTGCATCCTAGGCAGGAAAATAGAATTCCTGACTTTCCCTTTGGTAATCTGAATATAGATTACGGATGTATTTATTTATACATTCATAGTCCTGGTATTCCCGTTATTGTGAGGCTTTTTCTGCCACGGTGCTAAATAGTATTACAGTGTACAAAACTCTATGTAAGGAAAATGAGGGTGTCTCAAATGCAATTTGATAGGTGCTTGGCGTGTGTATGTGCACGTTTGTGTGGCTATGTATACATGCAGCTACGAACAGGTTGGATCAATGATGCGACCGATTCCACCAGGTGCTGATTGCACCAAGCGCTCCTGTGTGAGAAGGTGTTAAGTATGCAGCGCGTGTGTATGTGCGAACGCATGTGTTCGCCTGCTGATTGCTTGTGCTGCTGGTGAAGGTCATGGATTTAATCAAGCTACGCGTCACTTGTCCCAGAAAGGCTGTATATTACCACGCTAACACACACACGCACGCATATTCAATGCCGCGGTTAACCTGCAGACAGCGGAATAGAAAAGTGGCCTAAAAGTAGTTTGATTTCTCACTGTGCAGGTAAGTTCCTCCACCTGGATGCTGTGTGCTCACATACAGACAGTATTTTTAGGTAAATCATTCATCATAGGGGAGCAAAGTCCACTGGCACAATCCCCAAAAGACCTGAGAGAACACTGAGAGAGAAAAAAGGGGATGTGGGTGTGTAGGTGTAGAAATGAGAGAAAGAAAACGAGAAAGAAATGAAAGGAAAATAAAGGGAGTAGTAATTCTCAGAGGGTTTCTGCTCTCTTTCCTCCTTCCTGTCAGCCTTTAAGGTAATGGGTGCCTATGTGCTGTGCTGGTGACTGTGTGTGTTCCTGTTGGCTGGGCCGTAGGAGCACGGTGGAAAAGCGTCTTTTCTCCTGGGGGGACGCTGCATCCGGAGAGTCCTGGCTACAGGCGCTAGCCAGCCACAGAGGCACAAAGGGCCTCAGCGGTAAAGGACAGACAGGGCACCCTATGCCAGCCTTGGCACACATACAACTGCCTGATCAAAAACTTTGTTCAAGAATGGTGACTTGGCCAGTATGAGTAGAGCTTCCTCATGTGCTGCTTTCTACTCCCTTTTTCCACCTCTTTTACTTTCTTAGTAACCCTTTTCCTTCTCTCTCTCTCTCTCCTTCCTCTCTCTCTCTGCTTCTCTCGCTACTTTTCTCAAGCTACTCCCAGAGTCTGCCCCATGGGAAATATGTTACTTGAGTTGGTTCCCTTATGATTAATGATTTACCACAGATATATATAAAAAAAGGGACAAGAAGCCTGAAGCAGTAAGACAGTGATCGCATAAACATACACACAAAGCAGACACACACAAGAGCAAAAGTTTAGACACAAAAACTATGTCGTAGAACTATGAGCTAACTCCAAATTAACATTTTCCTCAGCTGACGGTGTTGTGTGTGTGTGTGTGCGCGCGTGTTTTTCAGATCTGTGTATGCATTTCTGCGTATGATAAAGAGGGGCCTCAGATCCAGTGTCCTATTAATTATTCATGTGGTCACTAGAGAGAGTCGGTGTATTTATGCCAATCGATAGCTCTTAGATATGATATAGTACTGCTACTCAAGACACACCCTCAGTCACCATGCACTGATTGAGATGGGAACAGCACAACTTCTTCCTTTGGGAAAAACACTGTACACAAGAGATGATTGAGTTCTGTTCCACTCCACATCTTATTGTTTTATAGGACCACAAAAACTGATTAGTTCTATAAATCTATTATAAAATGCCAGAAGAAAATAAAATAAACATATTGCAGTTTCCCAGGGCCCTTTGAAGTCCTGTGTGTACACAAACTCCATAGAAAAGCTATTCTTAGCTGCCAGGTCTGAAAAGAGTTGCCTGTGCTGAAGTGCCTTAAAACCTGCAATTATGCACAGGAAGTGACTCCCTTCCAGTTGTGGAGAAGTCTATGACAAAATGACGTTATGTCTTCAGATTTAATACCTCAGTAAATACATTTATAGTTTTTTTTGTGGTCCCAGTACCCAGTTTCAAATCTTGTGGAATATACACAGTGTTCATTTTGTATATACACAGTGATGGAACCCTTCGAGTACCCCTCAAGTGCCCAAGAATAGAATAGGTGATTGAACAGGGTGTTTTTTATGGGATGGCAACCTTGCAATTGATAAGCCGTTGTCATCTGAGCTTCTGGTGTCATCAGTTTCTCAGTCAGAGCCACTTCTTCTCTTAACTTACAGCTTCACAAACTATAGCCAAAGCTCAAAACTTCAGACTTGAAACGCAGGAGTCAATAAACAAACAGGTCCATCATCTATATGGTGTTTATAGGCACTCAGCAAAATATATATTCATCAACAAAGAATTTTCATCCTCTGAGTTTTTTAGTATCTATTAACCCATGGTTTAGGTTTATTTTCCTCACAGTCTGACAGTTCTGGTTCACTCCCAGCACCCATCAGCCTTACTTTTAGCCCAAGGAGACAGTTGTTTTCAGTTAAAAGGTAGTGCGAGGTAGTGTATAACAATGGGGTTTTATAAACCCATTGCTCAACACCAAATGACAGACAGTTAGCAGCTAAAAAAGCCAGTGAAGCATTTAGCAGATGAAATAGCAAACACCTGCCTCAGGAATCGCTGTAGGGAAAAGAAACGCAAATGTTCGGCTACAAGAGTTCATCAGGTGATCAGATTCTTGAATTATTTTTTCTCGTGTTTGCATTCAGCATATGAGACTCTTTTCATACAGATTTTCGAGGTTTAATGATTAAACCTGAGCAAACGCTCCTTGAATCTCATAAGAAAAAAGGAAAACTGTTAATGTTCACATGCCAGAAGCTGTGACAGTTTGTGACCATTTTTTTTCTTGACAAACGACTCAAATTGTCACCAAAACAGCAGTTAACGTCCTCTTTACTGACAAATTACATGCGCGTTTATTCCCAGTCGCTTTCCTCCTTTTAGTAGGCATAAAACTAACGTGCTGTGTTAGAACAGTGGTTCACAGCCTTTTTATTCCTTCCCTCGAGGATGAATATATTACAATCTCATCCTACACTTCTGCACAAGTAGTACAGTCAATTTAAATTATCCTGTTCAAGGGTCACGTATGTATGGAGCTGGTTGACTTTGTCTGTGGGCAAAGCTCTGACCTATGCCGTGATTAATGATTCCCGGGAGCTTTGATGACCCCTCGAGCCAGTTCAGGATACATTCTAACACGTTAGCTGTGTTTCTCTATGAACCGCTACGCTTCAGCAGTGATTAAATGCTTACACGTAAAACAGAAGCTGCTGACTGCAATAGTTCAGGAAATGTGTTCCATTAATGTTCAATAGGGCCTTTACAGATTTAGACGCAAGTGTACGCACAGGAACGCGAGCCCGATATCTCACCGTCAGAATCATTACACGCTAATTGCATTCAACCAGGCGCCTCTGAACGTATGCAAAATCACCTCCGCTGCATTCTTCCGACACAAACACTTCCTCTTGATGACGGTGAGCGCTCTCCTCCTCTTCACTTCCCTTACAAAAGTTTAAGAGCTAAT